AGAGAGAGAGAGAGAGAGAGAGAGAGAGAGAGAGAGAGAGAGAGAGAATATCTCAGGTTCCACATTCTGCCCAGAGCTGGATGTAGGGCTCAGTCCCTGACCCTGGATCATGCCTTGAGCCGAAATCAAGAGGCCATCCCTCAACCGACTGAGCCAGCCAGGCACTCCTGAAATTCACCAGTGTAAAGTATACAATTCGGTGATTATTATATTCACACAGTTGTGCAACGATCACTAATTCTAAAACATTTCGTTATCCTCACAAGAAACCCCATATGCATGAGCAAGTTCTTTGCCATTCTCCCCTCTGCCCAGTTCCTGGCAGCCGCTACTGTACCTTCTGTCACTGTGGAGTTGACTCTTGGGGACATTTCATATATCAAGTCCCGAAGTTGGTATTTAAAAAAAATTTTTTTTTTTTTAATGTTTGTTTATTTTCGAGAGAGACACAGAGTGTGAGTGGAGGAGGGGCAGAGAGAATCTGAAGCGGGTTCCAGGCTCAGCTGTCAGCAGAGAGCCCGAAGTAGAGCCTGAACTCACGAACCACGAGATCATGACCTGAGCTGAAGTCGGACGCTTAACTGACTGAGCCACCCAGGTGCCCCCCCAAAGTTGGTATTTAAAACTGGATATACTGGAAAACCCGAGGAATTTTTTATAGCCAGTTCCTATGGTATACAACATTTTATCAGATGTTGTATTAAACGATAATAGGCAGAAGGCCAAAATAAGGGTGTAACATTTGTCAGTCAATGAAGACAGCTCAACTCTTACTATCAGTCACCTACCAAAGCAGTCATGAATAATAATAATAGTGAAAGGTGAGGGGCTCCTGGGTGGCTCAGTCAGTTAAGCATCTGACTCTTGATTTCGGTTCAGATCAGGTTCTCACAGTTCCTGAGATCGAGCCCCATGTCAGGCTCTGTGCTGACACTGCAGAGCCTGCTTGGGATTCTCTCTGCCCGTTTCCCACTTGCATGCATGTGCTGTCTCTCGCTACCAAAATAAATAAACTTAAAAACATCTTTATAAAAAATGTTTAAAAACCGTAAACTTTGCCTCCGATCTGTCTACCCAGTGTTGTTATGCTGAACATTTTCTACACCTGAGTTGCCCATCAAGCCATCCTTGAAGATCCTGTCTTCTCATTCTCTGATCGCGTGCATTGTTAGATGTCTGTTGCACCTTTCTTAACAAAATCCGGAGTGAAAATTAATGAAATTAATGACTGCGTTTCCATTTTGACCTCCAAAGGTAAATTGGAGGATCCTTGAAACTTGTATTACGTTCATGTTTTATAAAATTAATGTCGTCTTAAAAACAACAACAACAATAACAACAAGAGAAAACCAGACAAAACAACACTGGCGTCTCATTTTGCAGATAGCCCAGACCACGGACGTAACAAATTGGAGAGAGAACTTTTCACAGCCGATTTCTAGGTGCCTAAATTAGGCTTAGTAGTCTTATTACTGGTTGGGCTTACCAACTGATGAAGTAATTTGTGTGAGAGTGCTGAATAAAGTCTGGTTGAATAATTTTTCTTACGGCAGAATGTGCAAATTGAAGTCCATCTTTGATACTTGTGTTTTGGCAACTGTACCATCGGCATTGGAGCCCAGACTTTCCAGCCTTCCCTTCACTGCTCCCTGCTCGAGAGCAGTCCTTCTGCTTCCTCCTCTCTGCTTCCCTCGGCTTCCGTGATTCGGGAAACCGAGCCATAACTCCTCTATCTTGGTGTAAATGGGACAGTCAGACAGGGTGGTGTAAGCACTTAAATTTCTCACTGAAACCAAAAGAATATAATACTCATGGTATTATATAACCTCTATCTGGCATCAAGTTCGAATCCACTGTTGTTAGGAATGTAACTGTAAGAAGGCTGCTATATACTTAAATCTCCCTTTATTTGCTTCTCTGGGGTTGTCCTCATGTTTTCATTAGAAATGTTTTTACAGATGTAGGCTCTTCAGATATGAAGTTGCTCAAGTGGAGACGCAGAAGTTTAGCTTTCAAATTAAAGGGGGGTAGAAATCTGCTTAGAAAGATTAATTTATAGATAATAATTTACTGACTGATACGTTAATGCACAGGGATCCCTAGGGGCTTTTAAAGATGTAGTCATTATATTCTTAAGGTTTCTAGGAATGTTAAACCTGTCATTCATAACAGGAGAGAACTAAAATAAGGCCCATTTATAATTTCTTTTTGGAAACATTTCATCCACAAATTCATAGGCAAATATTTTTTCTTTTCCAAGTAAACTAATAGTTGGACAGCACAATCCTTTTCTTGATTAACATGTTAACTAGTCGAAAGCATGCAGACACAGTGGATGAATGCTGAGTTTTCCTCAACATTTTATATTAAAACTTGGCCAGAGAAAAAGAAATATTGCTGCAAAATCTTAACTTTGGCATTACTATAAATTTCTGTGCATGCCAACCCCATACTGAGGAGTCTGAGCCTGGTAGGTTTGCAGTATTTTAAGCTCTTCTTCAGCAAATTCTTCTATTAGCGAGTAGACTGAACAGGATTCAGAGCTTTAAAGAACGAGTAGTTCCAGCTGTAGGACTTCTTTCCGTCATGTGAAAAATCAACACGTGGCCCCTACCATTTCCATCTGTTTTCTTGAGAGAACTTTGGGATTTCGAACAAGACCGTTATTCTATTACCTGAGTTCAGTTCAGATTCGGTGCAAAATGGGATGCCCTGAAGAAGACAGACTGTCAAATCAAGAATGTGAGGCATGAATATTGAGTAGCTATCTTCAGTCATGCTGTTTAGATTGGATGAGATAGGGTTGCAGACTGGTGTCTTCACCTGACTGTTGGCCTGAGGAAGGAAATTTCAGTTCCTGGCTTAGCTTCATTGTTGGCAGATGAGATTAATGGTCTTCTCTTGGTCTCTGACACAAGTTTATTTAGGTAACTAACTGAAATTTGTAAAATGTCCCCAAAGAAAATAAAGGTACCGAATGGGTGGGGCTCCTGGGTGGCTCAGTCGGTTAAGTGTCCAACTTTGGCTCAGGTCATGATCTCACAGTCCGTGGGTTTCAGCCCTGCGTTTGGCATTGTGCTGACAGCTCAGAGCCTAGAGTCTGCTTCAGGTTCTGTATCTCTCTCTCTCTCTCTCTCTCTCTCTCTCTCTCTCTCTCTGCCCCCACTCTCAAAAATCAATAAACATTTAAAAAAAAATGTTTTTAAAGGTACCAAATGGGAAATCTTTTTATAAATAGTCTTCAGAAGTGCTTTAGACCACAGACTTTTGCCAATAAAAATTATATTTGCCAGCCCAGTTTCGGCCTCCCGTCAATCCATTGTCAACCCACACTCCTCTCCGTTATCTCTCTGCATGTGCGTGTTTACCAGGAACAAAGGACACCCAAAATGTGTCTTTAAAAGGTTCTTTTAAAAATCCACAAAAAGGAAAAGAGAGGAGAAGGAGAAAGAGCAGAAAGAAGTTCATGCCCCAATTTTGTCCTTGGGTCGACCTTTGTTCGTTCTCAGGTCTACAAGGTGGCCAGTGGTTCTGCTGGCTCTTTTATTCATTTGAACCTCAGTGTCCTTGTCCAGATCTACAGGGAGATGTCTGGAATCCAACACACAGACGCAGACGCACAGACGCAGGAGGAGCAAATGGCAGCCTAGTCTGTTGTTGCCTGAAGCCCCAAGTGAAATTTGCCCTGTCCGTGCCACTGCCTTCAGGGTGCGTATGAGCTGAGCAAGTCCCGGTGGCGTGTCCTTCTACCAAAGAGAATAATCTGCGCCTTCTACTGAGATCAGATGAACTGAGGTAGTCATCGTGATTATGTATATTTATATTTTCTTATATTTGTGTATCTGTACGTTATTACGTTTACATAGGCATTTGTAAACTGGGAATCCTTCGTTTAGTATAATACTCTATTCAGTTGCATATAAATTCCTAACATTGTTCTTCCTGTTCTATCTCAGAGATTAGACCTTTCATGGGTATTCGTGAACTGTGGAGGGGACAGTGGGCCTCTATTCCCTTTACCAATCAACAGCCAAG